CCCAGATACACTGGGCAGCAGCAGAGCAGGGATTCCCAGCCCAGTGAATCATGCACTGCATCTCTGCAAACCCTTCCAGATCCATTGGGATGCTCCAATTATCTGGACCCATCCTTCAGGGTAGGACCCTGCTCCTAATTCCAGTGTGGATTTACGCAGAACCACTTCAGCCCCATGTCCTGTGCCTGCAGTGTCCTCCAGAGCTTACATTAGCTCCTCTGCCTGGCCGTGTTTACGCCCTCCATGTATTTACACAGAGCAATCCGCCCCGCTCCATCCCGCCTGCCCTTCGCTAGACTAAACAAGCCCGGCTCTCCCAGCATCCGGCACAGCCTCGCTCGTCCCGGAGCCCCCTGCCCGCATCCCCCTGCCCGGCACATCCCGCGCTGCCCGCCGCTCCATCCCGCCGCGCTAATGAATAACGGTGCTAATTGGAGCGGGTGGGTGGGCTGAGCGGGGACCGCGGGCGCTCCCCTCCGCCCTGCCTGCGCTTTGCTCTTCACCTGCATTCAAAGGGTATTAAAACAAATTAACAAGCCCTGACTACATAAAAGGAAGCTGCTGGATTTACAACCCAGCCTGCAGCTAGACCACCTTGCCTGCCGAGCAGGTTTGGGCCAGGCCACGTCTGCCATGGGAATCCCACTGCGGAGGGGTGATGGCACAGGGGCTCCGGGAGCCCGGCAAGGCAGCGGCACCCGGGCTGGGGGCTCGCAGAATGGCACTGCAGATCCCAGCACACTGGCAAATCCCGTGCTAAAGGCAGCATGGAACCCCTGAGGCGAATTCCGAGGGACTCCTTGCTGTTCTGTAGGGAGGCAGCACCCTGAGCTGTGGCTGGGGCTGGCCACATGTCCGTGGCACAAACGCAGCGGTCGCGGGCGCCTGGACTCTGTCCTGGGGGAATCTCCTGCCCAGCACTGCTCTGTGGCTCACCTGTGACAGTTCCATGACAAATTCGCTGGAGGGACATCACAAATATAAAGGAGAGGAGCAGAAAAGCAGTTTAAAGATAGACACAGAAGCCTGAAAGCAGGCAGGAAACCCATCTCGAGCATGTTCCTTCCTTTGAGGCTGAAGCTGAATCCCACAATATGTTTTCTTCCCACTAATGCTTGCCTAGCTTCCTTTGGAAACAATTTAGTCTCTGCCCGTGGTAGAATGTTTTTATCCATTAAGAAACGGATATTTTAAAGAAACCATAAGTCAATCTGGACAGGGATTAGGAAGCAGCAATTCAGTGTATTTGCTGGGCCCATAATTCAGGACTTAACCTCAGAGCAGCCACGTTGCATTTCGGAAACAATAGGGGCACTTGCAGCCTATGCCAAGAGGCTTCTTAAAAGTAATGTAATACTTTAAAAATGTATATTTAAAAAGAAAAAGAGAGAGAAAGACTTTACTTTAAAGGCATATTATGAAGCATTCTGCTGATGACAAAAATTGTGTGCTGGCCTGAAAGTAATGGATTGGGGATGAAGCTGAGCAAATTCCAGATCAGGAGATCTGAAGCTCTTCACCAGTGATCACAGTCTCCCAAAAACCATTCTACAGGCACTGGGATTAGGAGAGGCTTGCAAAAGGATCTAACTTTACTGTCCTCCCTGTGAAATCAAAGGAGTTTGGCTTCTCTGGAGCAAAAACAAGAGTGTGCAGGGAGACGTGAAGTGCATCAATCAAAACAGCTCACTCTGGTACTGAGAAGATCCAATCTAAAATCCCTTTGCAATTGTCTTGGTGAGTGCAAGGCCCCTCCACGCTGCTGGACAAGGCACAAGACAATTGCTTTTGAGTGGTTGAAGATGTTTCCACCACAGAACTCGAGCGTGGGCGGTCCTGTTCTGCTGTGCTGGGAACAAAATGGTTCAGCCTAAACCACTGCTGAAACACAGGCAAGGGAGGACACAGAGAACTGGGGGCTGCTCCTGGGGACGATGTGTGTCTGTCACCAGCCCACCTCCCCTGAGCCAGGGGACCCCGAGAAGCAGCTGAAGGCAGACAGCAGACATCCCTTCAATGTCTTGCTTCACTTCTGAGAGCTACTGGATTTTTTTAAGCTAAAAGGCAAAACTCGACTGAAGCAGGCACGCAAGGCTCTGGCTTCGCGTGCCCTGTAATAAGGAACCATTTCAAGCCACCCTAATGACAGCTTGGTGTCTCGCTGTGGGGATGGCAGGGCTGGGATTGCAAACACTCAGATTTTCCAGACCTCTCTGGAGAAGCATTGGGCCAAATCCTCAACAGAGGCTCTGCTCGGTTGAAGCCTGGGAGGCAGAGCTGGATGGTGATGGGGATCTGCCTGTCTGACCTGCCCAGCGCGGGGCCAGATTCTCATCACAGCTACATGGGTGAACCCAGAGTTACCCTATTTACCCCCAGAGCAGCACCAGTGGGATGAGATCTGGAGTGTGCAGGGTTGCCAGTGTCCATCCCATCTGGGGACAGGCATGGGAAGGAATCAAGTCTCTGCCTATCGGAGTGGGGCAAGGCAAGGCCAGAGCCACTGAAATACCCTGGCACTGGAGAGAGCAGGATCGGTATCGGAGCCCTGCTCTCTCCTCCTGCATTTCCTGGCATGCCCTTCAGAAACCATCGGCTTTCTCTTACCGGGAGGGTTTTGGTTTGAGACCATTTAACCTCAGGATGATCATTTTACATGGGGGCTATTTATAACCTCCAGGGGCTGCTTTACTGAAAGCCTCTGCGAGTGGCTGAGGGCCAGACCCTTCTCCCAGTCCCGGTGGCGTCCTTGCCCTGATCTCCACCACGGCCACGGCTTTTCCCTCCTCGGGAGGAGAGATTGGCCTGGGCCAGAGCAAACACATCTCCCAAGAACCCCAATTCTTCCAAACACTGTCTCCTGCCTGCCTAAAAACCCTAACTCCACGTGCCATGTGCAGGGATTTGAGGTGCTGGGATCCCCCCGCAGAGGCTGAGGCTGTTCCTGAGCATCCCAGCTCCCAGTTTGCTTTTGCCAGGAGCGGATTAGGAAGTTTGTGCAAACTGCTTGGTCAGCAGGACACGGAAGCTGAGCACCCTTAGCACACAAACAGAGGGAGCCGGGCACTGGTGGAGGGAAAAACCTCCTTGTCCCCCTCTTAATCCCTGCGCAAGGATGCTAAAAACATTAACCTTGGGAAGCACCCCATGAAAGATCGCGGGGGCCGGATGAACCCCAGCCTGCCCCACGGCCCCTCCCCGCTGGTATCTCGTTCTGCTTCCCACTAATCGGCCTCTCCTGTGTGTTACCCAAGAACGTGCCAAGTCGTGAGAATTACAGGCCTGTTAACTCCCGTGTTGTTCTTGGCACGGGCCGGGCTCCACTTGCTCGGGTAAAAATTATGATCTTTGTGAATAAGCCGTGTGTGTGTGTGTGTGTGTGTGTGCGCGAGAGAGAAAGAGGGGTTTTTAAAATGATGATTATGATTGGTCATAGCCAGAGCTGTGTCAAAAGGACAGGGCTGAGATGAAAATTTCTGAGCTGCTCCTGCTCCGAGTTACGCTGGTAGGAACCCGCAGTCATTTGAAGACGGTTCCTCCGACTTGGGAATGAGGGAGCCAAGAGCAGAGCGTGCACAAACCGCCTTTTGCAGCATTCCTGGGACTTCGGATTCACTCCGCAGGAATGATTTCAGAGGCTAATTTTGTGTGTCTCCACTCCTGCTGTCACTTGACATTTGGGAATTTGGCAGGGGCGGTAGCTTGTAGCCAACTCCATTTTTTTTCTCGTTGAATTTGTGTCATCACCTGATTCTTTGCTCCAAACGGCGCTCTTTGGGTTTCTGGCACTGCAGGGGGCTGTGCTAATTTAAAATACAAATCTTTTTTTCTTCCCCCAAGAATCTCTTTCTTTATGATGCGGCCAAGGGGACAAGCCTAGAAAACTCTTTCTCTCTCCCTCTCTCTCTCTCTCTCTCTCTCTCTCTCTCGCTTTTTTAAAAAAACCTAAATGATAGTCCTACACAAAATGCCCATGTTCTTCTCATAAACCTTGCTAATATCAATGAAAATTCCAAGCGTGGAGATTTGCATTTCAATGAGAAAGAAATTAAATTTTCTCTGTAATTTTGGGTTGGGAGGAGCGGCACAGCTTTTACAGTTCAGGTAACATTTTCAAACATGTTTTTACACCCAAAACCCCCTCTTTGCTAATGACACCGAGCCTTTCAAACAACCATATCCCTTCTGGAAACACAGCACGAGGGTTTTGGGAGCTTTTTCTATGAAACTTTCCCAGAAAGGGCACTTCTCACCAAAATTCCAAATACAGACAGCTTTAAATGCTGTTCCTTGAAGCCCTGTTAGTATCTCTGCTGATTTCTGAAGGGAAAGAACCGGTGAGACTAAAAGTACATGCAAAAGCAGCACAGAAAAGGACAGGAGAATGGTCTCTTAATTCATCCTGGTGGCATCTGTGCAGAAAGACAGGAGCAGCACAGCAGCTGAGATATTTTAATGCTGCGGATTCCTGGGGAACGCCCAGGGACTCGGGCGCGCTTTGCCGCTGGCAGATCTGGGTAGAGCAAAGCTCTGTGTGTGTGTGTGTGTGCCCGTGCAGGTGTGCATCCGTGTGGGGAATTATGCTGGAGCTGGGCGAGGGATCACCACACTTGGCAGCCAGACAGTGATAAGAAACCGTTGGGATTAGCATGTAAAGCACGGAACAGCTTCTCTGGCTGATGCATAACCATAGCGCGGCCGCCTTCATGTCAGAGGAGCTGCTGGGTTCAAAGGGTGCTGCTCTCACCTCCCTCGCACTGCTGCTGCTCAGCTGTTCCTCAAAACCCAGATCTAATGGTGCAAAAAGGCACTTCATGGGTGCAAAAAGTGACTCGATGGGTGCAAAAAGGTGTCCAAAGTCAAGAAACCTACACAAACCCCTCCTTAGCTAGGGGAGAGCTGGACTCCAACTCTAAAATCCCATCCAGAGGGTTGTTCCCCCTCAGCCATGCCAGGAACACGAGGGTTCGGGGGTGACACTGGGACGCCCAGGTGGTTACCTTGGATTGGAGTCTGAGCCTGGGAGCCGAAGTGGCTCGGGGTGCTGAGGGATCCACGGGGGTTGGGTGTCGTCGGGGTGACTCTCATGGACTGGCGCAGCCGTTCCAGCTCTCCATAGCGGTCGGTGAAGGGCTTGGCTTGGTCTTCCAGCTTTTGTCTGTGCCCTGGAACATGATGAAAGAGTCTGGTATCTGATCAGCTCCCCTTTGGCTGCAGCACCCTGGTTACACAGGGAGCCGGTACAGCCTCTGTCTCTGTGGTTTGCTGTTACTCACACAGGATAATGGGTGCCAGCCCTGGCAGAGAGCAGCTCCCGGGGCAGGTGGACACAGAGTGACCCACAGGGCAGGCTCCAGATCATCCAGAAAGTCTCCAGTCAAGGAGCTGGATCAGGATGCCCCTGTCTAGGTGATCCACCAGCCCTCACTGACTCTGAACACAGAGGGGAGACATGTGCGAGGCAGGAGAAACCATGTCCTCGCCAAGTGGGGACTAGCGAACCAGCAAACATTGAATTTTAACTATTTTCTACAGCGTTTGCTCATTGCTTAAAGAACAAACTCTTGTCTTGCTCCAGCCCCCTCCCAGATGTGCCCAGCCAGCTCGGTCAGAGCCAAGTGGGGCTGGAGAAGGCACAGGAGGGATGGGATCAGCCCTCGCTGGTACCACACCTTGGCCACCTCACTTTGCTTCTCTCTGCTCCTCTTTCCTCCCCATAAAACGGGCAGACTAATCACCCGCCTCCCCCAGGCAGGGCAGCAGCTAATGAGCGTTCATAAAGCACTCCCAGCTCCTCAGGTAGCAGCTGCTGGCACAGGGCAATAATTATTACATTTATGCTAATTGTCCCGCGGCGAGAGGCGCATGAAACGCACTTGATACCTAACTTTCACATTTTACTGTATTAATCATCACCAAACAGCTTCTCTCTCTCTCTCTCTCTCTGGACCGGATTCCAGTCTCAGTTACACCCGCACAAAGCTGGAGGGGCTCCAGAGGAGCCTCAGCTTTACATCGGTGCGGGGTTCAGACCTTGGCTTCTCCTTGTTCTTCTCCTGCCTCAGCCAGGCTGCCCTGCACAGCCCCAGCTCTCTGCACCTGCCACGGAGGGACCTTCCCTGGGTGGCACCGCCTCATGCCAGCGCTCGGGGCACTGGGGATGTGCAGGCACGCCGGCTGGGAAGAAACCCTTCTGCAGCACTTCAGAGAGCTGCGCCTCGTCAGATCCTACAGCCCGACATGCACCAAGCCAAGCTCGGCCCTTGGTGGCTTCTAAAGAAGAAAAGGAAAGCAAAGCAGCGCGTCTGAGAGGTGATGAACGCAGCCCGCACCCCCCTGCCCTTCCCCCTCACATCTGCACAGCTCCGTGAGCTGTGTCAGTTTAGAGCAAAGTCACAGAAAGTCCCCACACTTCCCCCTCTTTAAATCCAGCGTCTGCTATCTCCTCATCTCCGCTGGGCTTGCCAGGCTGGCTGCAGGGACACTGGCATGGGAGGGGAGCTCACGCTCCCAGCTGAGCTCCACGGGTGTCCCACCAGCAAACCCATCCCAGCCGCAGCTTCTGAGGGGCTCGGACCCCTCTCTGCTCTCTCCACATCCAGGTGAGCTCCACCATGCCCTCCAAGCTCTATAACCCCCAGACTTCCAGGGATGTGAGAGTCCAAACCGAGGGAAAACGTGCTGGCACCAGAAAGGAAAACCTAGGGAGGAGAACCCAGCAGAAAGCAAAAACCCAGCAGTATTTTGAAAATGTATTTTCCCTGCTGTGTGAAGCAAACCAAGGAAACCTCAAAGCAAGACCATAAATGATCTCATCTCTGTGTGTCCCCAGACCTCAGGCACCTCTGCATTATCCTTTGGAGCTGTGAGCAGCATCTGTCACATGGTGCTTTCTCCAGGGGAAAAGTGTGTGCAGTGAGATATCTTGTTTTAGGCCACATTTTATGTGCTTCACTATACATTTAAGCACAGAAGAAGAAAAACAGTGTTATATTTCACCTTTACCCAGTTTTCTTGCACACAGCTTCTCAGGAAAGCCAAAAGGACTTCAAAGACCAAGTTCCCCAGAAATCTAACAAAAATTAAATTTCTCTATCTCAGCACAAACCCTGTTCTGTGGTAGTATCTGGCATGTGACAGGGAAAATCCTGAAAAATATATCAAGTGATCTCTATGTTGGTAGTGTTTTTAAAGATTATTCAGCCATGCAGCCCCACCAAGGGCTTCATGTGCCTGTATCATGCTGCACTGTGGTTGCTCCTGTGCCCACGCTGTCTGAACGTGGGCACAGCCCCATGGGCTTTGCCAGCCTGCAGCAAACACCCTCCAGAAGGGGCTGGTTTGTGGGGAGACCCCCCCCCCCCCCAAACTATCCTGCTGAAAAGAAAGTGGAAAAATTGATGCAAATGTGAGTCAAGGCAAACACAGGGGTGCTGGGATCAGGGCTCTTCCCAGCCCCTCTCCGGTCTGTGTCCCACCTTGTCCCCACATGTGGGACCTGGCAGCCTCAAACCCTGTGAAACGAGGCAGAGAATGAGTTAAAAACCACCAGCTTGGCCTGCCAGCCCTCTTTAGCTCAGGCTGTCTCCCCAGGACTTCCTGCCGCTTGTCACTTAGGGCTGGGGACGTCAGACTTTGTCACGCAAGACAGAATCGCTGTTAATGGGTTTCTTTCATCAGAACAACCTGAGCTTTTTAATTTCTGCAGTGGTTGGCTTCATTAAAAGCCCTTCCCCATCTGCCCACAGCTGTCACAGAGAGGAAACCAGTGAACAATAGCTCATACCTTAGAGAACAGGAAGGTGGTTTCTACCTTCACCCAAGCACTGACTCAAAAGCCTCCCGAAGCCAGTGGGCGGATTTTCACTCAACTTCAAACAGCCCCAGCCCTCATCCCAAGAAATCTCTCCGAGAAGCCTCCATCGCCCCGACCCGTGAATTTTGGGGCACAAAAGGCACTGCTGGGGTTGGGGATGCTGCGCTGCATTTCCAGCTGGGCCACCACTGGCTTGCAGGTCAATATTTATGGGAACAGCAGAGCCCAGCATGGTCAAATGGTGGCAGCTCGTGACCTTGGGCACTCCTTGTCGGCAGCGCCAGGGTTTTAACGCCGGATCGGGTTTCAGAATCGGTTAACTCCGGTATTGAACGTGACATGATGTAAACACTGACAGATCACCTACCATCCTGATGTAAGAACAAGATCTGTATCAGCATATCAAACAAACTATCCCACTGAACACTTCCCAGCTGGAAGAGCCGACGTGAATTTGACACTTTAGGCCAGTAATAAGAAGCATACTGGAAGTTTTGGGTGTTTCCTTGGAATGCAGGCGGCGAAACAGTGTGTGCCACACGAGCTCAGGCCCTCAGAGTTATGATTTAAAGACATGCCTTCTGCATTAAAATATTTCAAAGACCAAACAGAGTCTGCTCTTCCTTCAAGGAGTGTGCAACCTGATGTGGCTTCCCAAGCCAGGACCGGGATGGGGTTTCCAGGCTGTGGAGGGGGAGTTCCAAAAGCAGCTGATTTCCTCAGATTGCTGAGATGCAGAATATTAATTTGAGCAAGGGTAGAAAGGGGCTCCAGGAGCTTCATGTCTCGAGTGACACCAAAATCTCAGAGCTGAGAGATTTGATTTAAAAAATCACTCTGTGGGGCGAGTGGGAGCCCCAGTTCCAGGATTTCTCTGCAGATGGAGGTCGATGAGAGCTGAGGAGCTGCCCAGCCTCCTCGCAGCCCTGCTGGGCTCAGAGCTGGGTGTCACGCTCATCCCCAGCCCCCGGCTCAGCCCCGTGCTGCCGGGGCTGGGAGAGCAGATGTTGGGAAGTGGCTTGGCCCTCCCTGGGAGCCTGCCTGCGGAATGCTGGCGGCAAGCTGGAGTGGAGGAAACGCCGAGGGACGTTCCTGAGCGCGCACACACACACACACACGCTGCAGATCATCGCCTCAGCTCCAGACAGGAGGAGATGAGAGCCAGGGGAGGGTGGCATGGGCTGGCACAGCAGCTTGAGCCACTCTCAGCCTCCTTCATTCCACCATCCTCTCACCAAGGCTCAGCCCAAATATTCCCAGCCTAACTGCAGGGCCGAGCCAAGCTCACCAGGAGCAGTCCCTGCACATAAAGCCATGGCTTAGTCTCTACATGTCCATGAGAAGGGACCACAAGAAAGGAATCAGTAGTGGATAAAACTCCATCTCAATGTGCAAAACACCTTTCAAATCCCTCCCGTAGCCCTTGGAGTAGGTACTTCAGAGAGACACGCCAGTCCTCTGCAGAGGCTGGGATTTTTTCCCAGCCTGAGTCTCGGCTAGACTATCAAGTCCCAGCATGTGCTCCAGAAAGAAGCCACATGTGAAACGCCCGTGTTATGGGAACAGCAGGCCTGTCCCTCGCAGCCCATGCTGGGCTGCTTCCATCCCTGCACACCTCTAACACGGGCCAAGAACACGGCTCAGCTTCTCCCTGGAGTCCCACCTGCAGCTCTAGGCCTGCCATGGGAAATGCCCAGCCGAGAGGAATTTGGAGGGAGGGGAGGACAGCACAGAGCTGGGAGCTGGAAGGGAGCTGGAAGGGAGCTGGAAGGGAGCTGGAAGGGACCCAAACGTGACGCAGGATGATGGTGGTGCCCTCCGAGCCCCAGCGAGAGCCAACCCCACTGCTAAAATCAGAGCCCAGGAGCTCGCAGGAGGGAACTGTTGGGAGGCACCGTCCCTTGTGCTGCCGAACAAAGTCAGGCACAGATAACTCATTATTCACATGTTTGAAGTTGGCCTGCTTACGCCATTTGGAAGGAGAATCAGTCACGGCCGGGCTTTGCTTTGGTTTCCTCTGGCTTTGGTGAGACACTGCTGCTACTGTCTTTCTGCAGCTCGGGGAGAAAGGGGAGTGTGGCGCAATGCGCCCCGGCTCGCTTGTCCTGGCACAGCCTTCACACCAACAACCAAAGGAAAATAATATTTAAAGGGGTGGGGGAGAGAATTAGGAAGGGAAAAAAAAAAAAAAAAAAAAAAAAAAAAAAAAAAAAAAAAAAA